AGTAAATGTGAAATCTTTTAAAATGTGATGAGGACCCTTGCAGGAAAGCTGCAATTCAATAATGTTTCCGTAGATTTTTTCCAGAATTATTCGTTTTCTTTTCAAAAAGTCTTCTTTTCATTAAGCTGAATGGAAGAGAATTCTTTATCCTCCGGAAAATGCCTTAGCAAAGGTTTTGGAAATCAGACTGAGACTGGAGAAGCTTTGGTGCCAATACAGAACAAGATGACAAGCTCTATGACTTTGCTTAAATTCATATTCTTGATCTGTCAACTTTTAGGGCTTGATCTTAATGCCTTTTCTTCATTTAAGCCTTCCCTGGCCTGTCCATGATTCATATATATAATATATACAGTCTTAAATAGTATTTCTTATTTGATCGTTCCTTCCATGGCCCTCTCACTGGACAGGCGCTTGTGTCTCATCTGTTCTTTTTGGTCCATCAAGCAATGTCACAATGAGCACTGTCTCTCTGAGAACATCCACTCCTCTCCCTTAAGGTCTAAAACCACTGGATCTGAAGACCTGGAAGCCTTCTAACCTTACTTTCTTGATGGGTTTCATGGCAAAAAAAGCCTCACATGCCCCAGAGCAATTATTTTTTGTCACTTATGGAATAAATTATTGCTTCAATGTGTTGTATGCTTATAATCTGCATTTACAGTTAGATCACATGGACAAAATTTCACCTTCGAAATATACTCTCTCCTCTCTCTGCTATTATCTTTATTTCGCCTCCTTGGTTTGTGCATGGCAAGTGAAGTTATATGATCATAATCTTCATTATTGTGCTTGTGTCTTTTGTGCACGTGTGTGCCTATCTGCTGTTCCGAATGGGAATGTCACAGCTCCAGGGAGAAGGTCAGTGTCTCTGTAGGAGTACAGACGATCTGTGAGAGTTGCTGGGAATGGAGATGTAAGGAGATGAACAGGGTCCCTACTTTTGAGGTGTTAATGGTTGAGGCATTGGATAGGTTAAGTAGAAACACAAGATTTTGAGTGCCGAGAGTCCCCAAATGTGCCCTGCGCTCACAGGAGCCATGGAATGGTTTTCTGGGGAAAGCCTCATTCTGTCAGAAAGGCCCCTGGCCCAGGTTTTCCTGGATGCAGGTGAAAGTCACCAGTAGGGGGCAGTGTAGCATGTGCTTCTTTGTCTCTGCCCAGGGGTTCTGGGGAGGTCATTAGACTCCTCAAGGTTTGGGTGGCCCAGGGAGCTAGGGACCTGAACTCAGGTATGCTTGTCTGCAGAGTCACTAGGAAACCCCAGCCATCTTTGCACTTTGTACGGGTATCCATTAACCTTTCTTTCCTTCCTGCCCTCCTGCCTTTGTTCCTTTTTATTTTCATCAATTCAAAAATTCTAAAAATATAGCAAGGTAGTAACTTTATGAACTTACCTGTATTCAGAACCAGTGCCTTAACAGTTCATCTCTTGTCTGGCAAATCTTTTGTGTTTTAATAAAAGAAATAGGCTAGCAGTTTAATTAAATAAGTCACTTAATAGTTTAAGTTTCTTTATCCCAAACCTGCTCTTCTTTCCCAAGGTAACTGTCCTGCAACTGTCTTTTTATGTTTCACATGTATCCTGTAAATATGCTGTGCTCCTATTTTTGTGTGTTTTTAAATGTTCTAACATAACTTGTTTTATAGTATAGTAGTATCAGTATGGAATTTTGCTTATTTTCTCACATAGCAGGGAGATCTCTCTGCTCAAACATATTTAATTCATTTTATTTTATGTATTTAACATTTTCGTTTTTAAAGTTTTGTTATTGTGATGTGTGGACACTGGAATTGTTTCTGGCTTTCAACCTTGTTACTGTGAAAATTATATTACTCAAGTGACCAGATTACAGTGAATATTCTTGTGTCTTTGCCCTTGGGTTCACATGTGAGAGTGTGTTTTAGAGATACACTTGCTGTACTGCAAAGGGTGCCAGTTTATAATTTTGCAGGATACTGAGAGAATGCTCTTTAAAGTGGTAACACCAGTGTACAGTCCCTCCAACAATGTAAGAAAAAACCCCACATCCTTAGAAATGCTTCACAGTCAGATGGTACACATTTTGTCCCTCCAGTGGAAGAAGAACCTATGACACTGTTTTAACTTGCATTTCAGATTCCTTGTGAGAGGAGCAGGTTTTCATGTGTTTCTTGGCAGGAAGGTTTTCTCTCTGTGAATGGCTTATGATTAGCTTCACTGGTGTCCTTTCTAGATCTATGATTTCTTCCTTAGTGGTAGCTAAGGATAGCTTCTTAAGGGGTGGATTTCCCGGCAGGTTAGTGATAGCAGCCACATTGTGGACATATCTAGGGGGGAAGTTTAGGAGGGGTACCCTTGGATTCTCCTCCCTTGGAGGAGCCCTTCCCACCTTAAGGACCCAGTACTTGTCTGGGTGTTTCTGCTTAGACTAGGAGAAAGGTTCATCTAGGGCATGTTCCTTCTGCTGTGGAGAAGAATTTTCTGTGACCATTTTTCATAATTTCACACAGTTCTTCAGTAAAATATAGTCTGATTTCAGAGCCAAAAACAGTCATGCTTTGCTTTGCTTAACATATTTCTGGCTTATTTTCATCTCATAAATATTGTGAACTTAGCACTGACCAAATGTATTCTACTTTTTCTTGGATATTGGTGACCATCAAGCTTAAAATTAAATTTTCATCCTTTCCTAACAAGTACATATGTTATAAAACCCAATTCCTGGCCCTGTTGATGTTGCTAGCTTGACTTTTATTCTGTGTCTATTTGTTAGGTCATTACATAAAAGTAAGTTAAATTTGAGGTTAAAATAAAATAGAAGTAAATTAAAGGGCATAAACAACTAAAAGAAAAGTGAAAGTAAAAATGATGCTTGTGCCATCAGTGTGGCCTAGGCACCTAGCCAGCACCAGGCAGTGGCCCGGGATGCGGGGCCTGCAGACTAACGCAGTAGAGAGGCAGACGTGTCAGTGGGTTCCAAGCAGGGACAGGCGCCACACTCCAGAGGAAAGGACGAGCTTGTCAGGAAGGAAACCATCCACATTTTCAACCTTTTTAGCCGCCAGTCATGTGAGAAAAGCATTAAAAGTGTTCATGATTATGGGGAATGCAGTTCTTACTGTGAGGTAATTTGGGAGGAATGAGGTTCTGTGATCTCTACTGGAAACACTAGTGCAGTCAAAGTCTTGGAACACAGTCTCTAAAGTGTGAGGATTTGGAAACATTTCATAAAAATTTGGAAATTGAACATTTGGTGCAGGTTTTAAAATATTTCATCCTGTGTCTTGTGGGGGGAGAGCAGAGAATTGTCTGTTTCTAACTTTACTGGCTTCCCTCTGCCTGTGACTGACATCCATGAGAGAACTACAGTCCTGGAGAGGTAGCTGCCCTTCTATTTTGGAGGCTTTTTTTTTTTTTTTTTTAATGTAATGGGGACAGTGTTTGTGCACATCCTTTTAAAATTATTTCTCCTTGGTGAAATTTGTACCGTGAGAGAATTCACCTATCTTTTTGTTTTTATTATTTTATTTTTATTTTCTCAAATCCTAGCAGTCCACCTTATTATCGTTTTATTTCCACCACTGTTTAGAAGGGACCTATAGATGCTGTGTGCTCACTCATTTAATATTATTTTTCTTTTAACTTTTTATTAACAGTAGGACTACTTATTTGTTTTCAGTGTCTTGATTGAAATGCATTGCTTAACTACTTTCCCAAAAAGGGAAGCAGCGAATTCATTCTAGCATAAGTTCTTATAAGTTCCCTGTAATTCCAGGTGTTGTTTGCTCATCCATCCATCCAGCTATCCATCCATCCATCCATTCACTGTCCGTCCGTCTAGATGCCCATTCAATTATCCATCCTTTGAGTATCTACCTTGTACAAGGGACCAAGTTGAGTGGTATAGCATTAGGAACTGTAATACAGTTTTATCTTCACAGAAAGTGTGATCTAAGAAAATTCAAGAGATACTTTAATAACTGGTAGCATATAGGGTATTTGTCTAGTTATTTATTTATACTCCTAGGGACTTTATTGATTGTGAATGACAGAATAGAAATTGTATATCAGTTAATGATATATAGCTTCAGAGAGGGCTGGATCCCAAGACTCAAGTGGTAGTTTCTTTGTATCTCCTTGCTTCTCTTTCATTTTGTATGCTGACCTCATTCTTGCCTAGTATCTTTCCTTATGGCAGAAGATTTCCCCTTGGGAACCTGGGCCTGTGTCATGCTTCAGCTATGATCCCAGCATAGGAGAAAAACTCTCTCCTAGCATTCCTTTATTTAATCTTAGGGAAGATTCTCATTGGTTGCATTGAGATTACATGCACTTCTCCAAGCTGGTCATCATGGTCAAAGCGAAAGTTCTCTGTTTGGGCAGAGCCAGTCATCCGCGTTTGTGTTTGAAGGTTTGAGGAGTAGGGAGTAGATGTGATTTCTACAGACAATATCCTGGAGCCATATGGGACTTGTGAAATGTGGTGTCTCAGAGGAAAAACTGGAATTGCTACTGAAAAAAGCAGAAAATGGGGATGCTGTGGTGCAAAAAGAGCCAGAGGGGAGGGATGGGAAATGCATTTCTGTGCTTCAAGATGCAAATGGAGGAAATGACTGTGACTCTTGGAAGTGACCCAAGACAGGGCTTCCCAGGCACTGTGAGCACTCCAGCAGCCCTGTGGCTGTCCCTGCAAGGGTGGATGGAGCACGTTTGAGAGGCAAATGATGCACTGCCAGGGTTCATTCACCTCTGCACACTGGTGAAATCCTAAAGGCAAGGAAAACTGGAGTTGCCAGGTAGAAGTGATAGAAGAGCAGGGAAAATACAAAACTTGTGAACTGACACTGACCGTGAAACCTGGTCTGTCATGGTTTGTTCTCACTCGTACACCACTTTACTCTCCTTACAGTATTAAGGCAGTGCTAGTGCTGGTGCAGCTGAGGGTGCAAGTTTCCCATTCTCCCATGTCACTGCCTACATCTGTAGTCACTGCTGTCCCCTCTCTGCTTTGTTGCAGTTTCATTGCCAATCAGAAAAGGCTAGAAATCATCAATGAAGATGACGTGGAAGCCTACGTGGGACTGAGAAACCTGTGCGTACTCAGGACCTGTGTCCCTTATTTCTGACTTTTCTGGTTCTTCCCTGTGTCTGGGAAGGCATGACTTGGTTGGTTCTAACCCGCGTGCCATTGTTTATTTTCATAGGACTATTGTGGATTCCGGATTAAAATTTGTGGCACATAAAGCATTTCTGAAAAACAGCAATCTGCAGCACATGTAAGTAGAAATGGATGCTTTTGCTTCTCTGGGTCCAATTTATTTAATATTTTCCTCTTCTGTTTATTTTCCTTCTTTTCCAGCTTTGAACTTCCTTTTTTAAAGTTAGTGTAGCTGTGATAATAGCCTAGAAACATTAACTTCGATTTTGTTTGATTTCTGAATGGCTCTAGAGGGGTACTTAGAACAGCCTGTTTACTCCCTTTCATGAATTTCTGGTCCGCTTCCATTTTGGACAGAGCAGTCGGAGTCTGATGTGAGAACTGTGTTCTTACACTGAGTCCTTGATTCTTTTGCTTGGAATCAAGACATGCTCCCTGGACGACATCAAACTAGTGGAACTGAAAAAAGCTGACTTGGCCTTGGCACTTTTTAGGGAAATAAAAAGTACTAATGCTGTTTCCCCTCATGGTAGGCCAACTTTTGAACCTTCATTTTCTCAATCCAATCTGTCATAGGTAGGTAAATATGGAGATAAAGCAATCCTGAGACATGCTGATATTTATTAACAGAGGAAATGTTTCCTCTGAAGTCATGCTGGTGCTTTATTCGCTGAAGTCAAGTGACAATACGAATCTATTTTGCTGTTAAATCCTTTAAATGATGACATTTAACCCAGTAAGGTGTGGCCTTGCAGAGAGGCTTCTTTCAGCAGTCACCCAAGTGAGGAGTGTCTTTGGATCTCTAAGCCAAGAGTGGGGGTCCATGCCTCCTGAGTTCACAGTGGGAGTTCTGCCAGAGGACTGTTACCTGCATGCATTTGTTCTCTCTCACTGACCACAGTCTTTTAGCAATGATGTCTTGCATGTATCGCAGGCTACAGTCCAACTATGCAGCCCTCATCTGGGTCGTCTCACTTGATTACATCTTTTTGGATGATCAATAAGGATGAACCTTTTATTCCTATGGCATAAACAAAATCAGTCTGAGGGTGTTCTAGGACTTGCCCAGGTAGTAGAGTTACTGATCAATGGCTAGTCCCTCTCTTTGTTCTTATAAGAACATAGGAAATAAAATGTGTGCCATTTGTACAATTAGAGAATCATTCCTTCTTAATAACATTTGTCTTTTCTATTCTTGAGCAGTCAGTTCCCTGACTGATTTCATGCCAGTTATACAAGAAATCATTCTCTGGGAACAGATTGCCTGTATATTCTGTGGAGATTTGTTGCTATTATGAAAAGCCTTAATTTCATAAAGCCGATTATCATGTCTTCGTATTTTAGGTGGCATTAGTGGTGAAGTCATTTTAAGAATAAAGTCTGTACAATTAAGATATAAAACACCCTACACAAACATGATAAAACTCTGAGGAACTCTGTTAACACATTTCATTTAAATGCTTTTTGGCATCGTTTCTGTAGTTGATTTGCCTGTATAAATCTGATGTCTGCGTAGGCCTTGGTAGCATAAACAAGGGAGACATTTGGATGAAAGAAAAAGGCAGAACACTCTAGTGCACTCACTTAGATGTAATTAGTGACCTCAATGGTTAAATTCTGGCATTTTCATTACAGCCTACCTTAGACCCACATTACTCAGCAGCCACATTTTACTGGTCATTGTATCACATCACTTCTCCTGATACTGTGACTTGAACAGTGGGCTCGGATTCACTGTATTTTATTAATGGACCTTGTATAATTCTTTTACATTAATACATGGCAGAATAATTTAACTGTGTTATAAGTACAGCATCAGTTTCACCTAGATATAGCCAAATATGCACCGATTCCCAAGGAGTTATCAATTGGAAATAGGAAACTAATAGGGTATATATACTCAGTTCAGTTTTCTTATGAAATAATAGTTGTGAATTTAGTCATTGCTCAAGTGAAATCTCTGCTACCATTCGTAGCCCTTGTCAAGTAGTAAGATAAAATTGAGTACGTATTAGGCAGTCACAAAGTATCACTCTGCGTATTCATTTGGCAAAATATGGAATCAGGCTGAGGAGTCTGCTGTTGAGAATGACAGGAGGTGGAGGGGTCAGGCTGGGGGTTTTCCTGTCCACCTCTGCTGATGACAGAGGACTCCGTGAGCCAGCTTGCTTCCTGACTTCTCGCCCATGGTCTCACCTCTGTCATCAACATGGTGAGGTGCCCGGGAGCTTATGAGGAACTATGGATGGAATCTGTTTCTCTCTACCCCTGAGCTATATTGATGATTTTTTTGAGTTTCCCCACCATATAAAAACATGTAAAAGACCAGCCTTTTTCATTTCTGCTTTTTGTGAAATGTAAATTGAGTCTCTTCAAGTCTCTCCCTGCCCCATTGTGCCCTGTCCATGTCACGCCAGCGTTGTGCTCTGAGAGTCCAGAGCCCAGCGACAGGTCACTCAGCGTGTTCTTGTTACGTCTCTCAGATCTCAGGGGCTGTGAGAACAGCCAGTGTTAGTGTTTTCCAGGGGTTTTGCTGAGGTGCTCATCAAACAGTAAGAGGATTGTTGCATATTTTTCCCCTTCCTTCTTCCTCCTTCTTGGCTTTTGGCCCCTATAATAAGTGTGGCTCATAAAAGTCATCTTGTTATTTGGTCTGTGACTGCACTCTGAGCTGTTGGCAGCAGGACAGAGGCAGTGGCTCCCTGCACAGTGCAACTGCGGCTCACTGACGGGGGAGCTGTGCAAGTTCCAAGTTTGCTCTCTCTTTGCTTCCGGTCCCCTCTGCCCCTTTTGTGTCATACAGGAAGAGGAGGTTTTGTTTTGTTTCCTTTTCTTTTTGTCTGATAAATAGGGATTTCTCATAGAAGTGAAATGATTGTATCCTGAAGACTGTGGGAAAGACAGGCAGTTGACTCTTAAACATGGTATACCCCAGTGGATGCCTTTCTTAGTCACATTTCAAGAGGCAAGCTTGGGGGGCACAGTTTACAACTCCCCAATGGATGCTCCTGTCTGGCAGGTGAGCACTTCACCCTGGAGTGAGGGGAGTCAGTGCATGCAGAGAAAAGAAGGAGCCTTCTAGAGGTTGAGCCCGGCCAAGTGGAACCCCACGTTCTGTTGACTTGTGGCACCCAGGGCAGTGGTCTTTCCTCAGTGACCAGTGTAGCTCACACATTAGCTCTGTGGTTGCTGCCTCTCTAGTGATTATTGCCAGACACACAAGGACACTGCCACCCTTGATGTCCCCCAGCTGACATGCAGACGGACTTCACGGAAGGTGAGGGCATGTGTCATCCTCACATTTCCTCTTGTATCTGACTCACAGCTTGCTTCCTTGAGCAAGAAGAAGACACTAAAAAGTTCCTGGGTTTGTTCTTGTTGGTCAAAGTCTTGGCTGTTTTTGTGACAGTGGTTGTTTGTTTTATATTCATCTTACTTATTAGACACATGTCTAGAGGCCCAAGTACTGGACACACTTTAAATAAATTCAAATAGTAAACAAATTCACAGAAAAAATCAACTGCTAGGATTGTGGCTGGGAATTTCCCATCTCCAGGTCTCATGACACTAATCATTGGAAACTCTCATCCATCAAATAAAACCACATATTTGGAGCATGCCAGGAAATTCATTACTATTTTTCTAATCACAAATATGCCACCTTGTCATTGTCATGCTGCTTTGCATCTTAAGACGGTATGTTGCTAGAATAGTTCAGGATAAAATCTAATGTATTCCTTGTTCTTTGATCTTCTTCTTTCATCTTAAAACTACCAGCTTATTTAGATTATGTATCATCTCACCTGAATTTATCAATCAGTAAGTGTGTTCTTTCTTATAATATCACATAAAATTCAGCAGGTTATTTAGTTTTAAAACATCTTTTTCCTTTAATGAGCTTATAACTTTACTTTTATTTATTTAACATTGCCTATTAATTTTTCAAAAGTCAGAATCTCTATGAGGTATATAATTTGATTCTGAGTGCACATATAAAATATAAATGTTTGGATGAAAAGAAGATTAATAACAGATAATATAAAATGTATACTCCCTCCTTCCTAATAAGCAAGGAGAAGGGAAAGGGAGTAGGGAAAATAACAAAGCTATCATTTCAGATGAAAAAAGAAGAGGACTGAGTCTAAAAAAGGCATGTATCATGAACAAACAAACTTATGTTTTGAAAATAAAATTTCTATTTGAAAACATTCTTTCTGAAATGTAACTTTTTAAATTCTCACTGTAATGTCTTTGGTTCTTTTCAGCAATCTCACTCGAAATAAACTGACCAGTTTGTCTAGAAAACATTTCCAGCACCTGGACTTGTCTGAGCTGTAAGTAATGATTTTTTATGGCATTTAGGGCAAGATTTCCAAACAAGTGGATACATAATTATATTTTTTTACATGCACAAAGTTGCAAGTCTGTTTCAAAATTCTTGAGAAATGATCTATTGAGTTCTGGCTTCTTTTTTTTTTTTTTTTTTCATTCACTCAGGAAAAAATTCATCAATTTCAAAATAAAAATCACAATGGTGATATATCATTTATGATGAAATTAAATGTTTTGTTTTGTTTTTGGTACTGGCCATTGAACTCATAACCTGGCACTTGTCAGGTAGGCGCTGTGACATTGAACTATATCCTCAACCTTAAATGTTATTTTTACATAAATAATTTATTTTGTAATGGCAAGAAAAAGCTTAAAAATGAAGGATATTTGCATTAAAATGGCTTTGTATCATAGCAAGTGTCTGGTTCCTGTTCTGTCCAGACCCAATAAAGCAAATGTGTCAGCAAGAAAGTGACAGTGGGCAGCCCAGCTGTCCCTGCTTTGGTCCTTTAGTGCCAGCTTAGGCATCATGCATGTTGGAGGAGAGGTTTCCTCCCTCCCTCCTCATCTTGGTGAGATTTTCTTCTAGGTCTGCCACTGTGCTCAGTATTTGTCCTTATGTCTTAATTTCCTCCCCTTAACATGGCAGGAAAAACACTGAAATGTGCCGTGAGCATCTCCTAGTATGCTCAGTTGTTGGTGTTCCGCCATGGAGCAAACAGCCATGGCTGCCATTTACTCTCGCGAGGGGCTAGAGAGGCCCACGGTGGGCTTTGGAATTAGGAGATGGCTCTTGCTAACTGTGTGTTGCCTGATCTTGGTGTCTTTTTATGAAAATCCATTCTTGTTCACAAGCAAATTGAGCAGAGTGGAACACGTTGTTAGTGACTAGGGTAAAATGGGGTTAAGTTGCGACAGTCTTGGCAACCAACAATTATTTGTAATAAACTGAATTTGGGGAAGTGGTGCAGGCATGTTTATTTTTTTAAAGATTATTTTAATTAACATAATAATTGTAGATATTTATGGGGTACTGTATAACATGATATAGGCATGAAAAATGAAAGGGAGATCTGTAGTACAGAGTAGGACACTCTGTGAAAATGTTAGGTACCCCTGTCCTGTAGTTACTTAGTGGATTCAACATGAGAGTTTATTTCAAATTAATGTCTCAATATTCTCCCGGCAGTATATTTAATCAATGCACTGAACAAGTGTTGATTGTGTCTTTGTTACCGATCAGAATGAGTAGGGCATGGATCTCTGAGGACAGCAATTTCCCTGTGGAAGATTTTGTTTTGCAGCAGGAGAGACAGGAGCCTCACATCATGGGTGCATGGAGCTGGCACAGGCATGGGCCAAGGCTGTGCACGGTGGGCGGGGGAGGAGCCGGCTCCTGGGTGTGGTATGGTCCTATGAACTTGGTCATTTTCATAATCAAGGCACCTTTTACTTCTTCATCTCATTTGCCAATTTGATTATATCCCCGCTTTTTAGGAAGATGCTAGCTTTTATGTACTCAGAACTCTGGGTAACATTTGGATTACTGGGGTTGCAGACTGGTCTCTTCGGTATTACGTTCCATATCTCATAGCATCAAACCCTATTTTGGTATTGGTGGGGTACTTGTTGGTGGTCAGGCAGACACACATTAAACCAGTGTACCACAACCACATATGCCCCAAAGAAACGCTCAAAAAAGTCTCTGGGGATCATAGAGATTCTTAGAACCCAACCAGAAAACCACAGGAGTAAATGATGCGGCAAGCCCAGGGCCCGTCCTCTGGCACTGCTATTGCCAGGCAGTCTACGGAACTTTAAATGGCCTCATTTAAGGGCTCATTACCATAAATGGGATTCATCTTAAATAGGCCACTGAGGATTATAAGTAAGCATTTAAAGATTTTTTTTCTGTGGTTTTTATTTTCCTTTTGCCCACTTCCTGGTTCACCTATCACAGGCCACAAGAGCCCAGGCGGCGTGGCTGAGTCCCACACCATGGTGGCCTTGGCTCTTCAGACCCCTGGAGCAGTGGGCTGCACAGTTGTTCTGGAGTTCAGCATGTTCCCCTTAGAAACCTGAGCTTGTGTGTGTATATGCATGTGCGTGCACATGTGTACATGTGCATGAGAGATAGCGATGTCTCACAGCTTCCATCTAGCCTGTCCTTCTCCACTTTGTCACTTGAATGAAATGAACTCAATTTGTATAGTGCACAGAGCTGGGAGAGGCAACCTCTGGTGCTCACACCTCAGTCTTAGTTTTCTGTCCACTGCCTTATTTTAAACTGAGCTAAATTATTCCACTGGAACTCGAACTTTCAAGCTGACAACACTGAGTGTCCACCTGCTCAGAAATATGGATATTAGTGCTCCTGAAAGTTTACTGTTGGCATATCCACTTAAGTGCTCTTTAAAAACTGCACAAGAGTGATAAATTTATTAAGGTGCTTTATTTCTCACAGGTCATGAGGCATTCTTTCTTATCTTCTATTATAGCTGTTTCTGGTCCTGTCTTGGTTTCTCCATTATTCCCCAAGTTTAACAGCAGCTTCCCGTCCTTAACTTCAACAGTGTTTGCAGTTAACGGCAGCTCAGTAGATGTTGGATAAGTGAGTGAATAAGTACTGTTTTGCTTTAAAAGTGGGCGTGACTTCCAAAGGTTGCTGGCTAGAAAGAATTCATAACATTGAATTTCACAGACAGCATCTTAGCTGTAACTACACAAGGGAGCCTGATCAGGTTTTGTTTTTGCTCCATGTAGGATCCTGGTGGGGAATCCATTCGTGTGCTCCTGTGACATTATGTGGATCAAGACTCTCCAAGAGGCTAAATCCAGTCCAGAAACTCAGGATTTGTACTGCCTAAATGAAAGCAGCAAGAATATTCCCCTGGCAAACCTGCAGATACCCAATTGTGGTAATTTATTTTTAAATCAATGATTTCTAGTTGCGATTAATTCTTCTAATGGCCCTGGTTCGGTAGAGAGTGTGGTAAGATCACCACTCTCCAGATTTTGTGTAGTGCGCTGTCCATGTTTCCAGTGAATAAGATGTCATTCGCGTGCAGTGTGGAAAAGCCAGCAGAGAGCAACTTTACTGATATCTTTGCAAGGAGAATACTGATTCTGAATGTATGACTAAAAGTGCAGAGAAAAGAAATACAGTGTTTATTACTTTATCCATCCATCCATCCATCCATCCATCCATCCATCCGTCCTTCCATCCATCCATCCATCCATCCATCCATCCATCCATCCATCCATCTATCCATCTACCCATTCATTCATTTGTCCATCCAAAAACTGTGTGCTTAGAGAGTGGTTCATATAGGTCACATATACAATTGGTCAGTACCCAGGCCATATGGGGGGACAACTTGAGGGTGATGAAAGGTTCTTGCAGCATGAGGAGAATCCAGCACATTCTCCTCAGCTTGTTGCTTTGCCAGGTACCTGTGTCTCTTGATTTGGTGCCCAACATCTGCCCTTATATCTGCTTATCCCCAGGAGTGGGTTCAGAATCTCCTGTTTTGCTGTTGTTCCCTGCTCCTCTCTGCAGTATTTTCACCTCCAGGATTTCAAAGGGTGCCACGTGGCAGAGGCATGGCTCTCTGTGAGAACGAGCATGTTGCAAGAAAAGGAAAACGTCAACGTCTGCTTAGGACTTGCCCAGCCTCCACGTAACCTCTGCAACACCCAGGAAGGTGTACTCATCCTCTGATGAAATTTTAATCAGTTAGTTCACCAATTAACAGATTCGTAAACAGTTATATTTGCTGTTCTGGGTTAGGGGCTGGTGCCATAGCAGAAAACTACATTTTCCTACTTTCCTACTTTTACGCACAGGTCCCAGTATTAGCCACAGCCAATGGCGTGTTTTTAACAGATCCTATCTGAGGTCCACTTTTATTAAGAAAAATACACCTGCTACTTATTCTTGTAGCACATTGATTATAAATGTAGCAAAATGCACACTTATTACAGTTGTAATAAAAATAAATTTGAGCATTTGTTTGTTTCCCTGAAAGACCCTGGAAAATAATCCTTCCCCTTCCCCTGTCACCAGAGGGGCTCTTTGGTTTCCACATGGGCTGTCAGGCTTTGTTCTCCTCTTTAGCTTTCTCTGCCAGCCAATACTTTTTTAAAAACCCAACTCTGAACATTCGTCTTCTCCAGGTTGATAATGGGGTAACCATTTTCTGTTATGTTATAGTTTGTACTATGGAGAGAAATTGCCTAGAGGGACATGAAATTCATTGCAGAATCACCTGGTCTTTGGGCTGTGGTGATCACACTTGATCAGCTAACACAGAGAAGAGAAGAGAGACAGATCTGAGTCTCTTATTTCATAAGTTGCCCTTACTCACGTGCTGGTGGTGCACCCAACTTTGTGTGTTGTTGATGAACTGGTGTGTGTTGTGTGTGGGTGTGTGTAGGGTAATCCCTCTACCTGAATTTTAAGTAATTTTTATTCCTTTTTTCCTACAAATGTTCCAAAGAGTTCTGTGTATCAGAATGAGATTCTCAGTCCACTGTCAGGATGACATAGGTTTTGATCAATCAGTTAGCACTGAATGGTTGCATTTTCATTAAAATGAAAATTCATTTCAAGATCAGTGATCCTTTCCAAAAAGCAACATTGTAAGAATATGCCAGTTGAATAGCAAAAAATTTTTTACTATTTTTGTGTTTTTAAACTGCTTTATTCTTTTCCTGTTTTTATTTTCTTTCAAAGTGTTATTTATTTATAATTGTACAGCTACTGCTGATACATATTATTGTAAAAATAATTTCTCTTGTTACACAAAAAGCTTGTCTTTTTCTTTCTTATAATCACATGAGGTCAGATGTCATGAACCTATCATACTCTGTTTAACCAAAATGTGACATTCATGGGAGAACAATCTTGATTACATTAAATATACCATATTGGTGGGTATTTTACTTTCCACTGTTATTATTACAGTAACATTTTCACATGCACCCTTATTCATGATCTTTGTCCACATGTAAAAGTTCAAATGCTTTTGAAAAATATAGGATTTTTAGTTAAATAGTTTTGTGCATCCATTAATAATCCTCTTAAAAGTTGTGTGTTGGTATTCACAAACTTATTTTGCCACTCTAAAAGATGTTGTCATTGCTTTTTAGCTTATATTCTTGATTACTACTGAGCATTTTACATATTTATTAGATTGTGTTTATGTTTCAGTGAACTGGTTTTTCATATCCTTTATTTTTCTGTAGTGTTTTTTCTTTCCTTTATTTTAATTGACAGAGTCCTTTGTTTTCCTTAATTGCTTGAAAATTATAAAATATATTTCTACTTTTTGAAAAATATATAAGGGCAAAATATGTATTGCCCATGTATTTTTTGCATATATCTAGTGATAATGCCTAAAAGATAAGAAAAGATGTTTCTCCCTTCCTGCTTCTATCCATTCCTCAGCGTCTTATTATTTGGGATTTTATTTTTAGATAGCTACTTGATTTTTGTGAAGATTACCTATTTCTTTGTATTGTGTTGACTTTCGTGTCCTATGACTTCCCCTTAAAATGGTTTTCCTTTTGTTGCTGTACATCTTCTAATACTCCTTTCAGAGAAACTGAAAAAAATCTCCAATTCTTTTCCTGTTAGAAAATCAGCCTGTATCTTGGATTCTCAATGAAACCGGTTAACTAAAAAAATTCTAGGCTCAGAACTCTTTGAACTTTCCCTGGGACAGGGTTCTTGGAGGCATCTCCTGGTCTTCTGTCTGAGACCTCTGTTCTTTAGCTGTCTCTGTGGCTGTCCTTCTCTGGCTCTGTGGCTCAGCTGACGTGAGCCCTGCCCTGTCCTGCCACCTCACCTCTCAGCAGTGGGGCGGCCCGGAGCCCCCTATGCTGCACAGACCATGTTCCTAGGCCCACTGGGGGCCTGATGCTGTTCCTTTATTCTGTTTCTATGCTTTTCTCTTGTTTGGGGTTCCTCGTAGTTTCTTGCTTGCCAGGACTGTGTCTCTTTAATTTCCAACATAGTTCTGGATTTTGGAAACTGTTTTATATCTTCTCTAGACATTTAGGGGAAGGAAGACTTCGGTTTGGGATTTAGGAAAAGTTACTTTTCATCATGATGGTTTCCCATCTTTGGTTCTTTAAAGAAAAGTTAGAAAATTGAGCAGATAATTATGCTAGAGTGTTGGACTCCAAATTTTTCTCTGAAATTCCACACTGAGGAAACCACTTAATGCATTCTTCAAATTAGATACTTTGTTTAAAAAATTGGATTCTGGGTCAGTTGAGTTTTTCATTTAGATGTGCTTTTAAAATACATTTATTGTGTTTAAGTACAACTTCAAGGAATTTGTCTTCTTTCCACACTTTTTCTCTTCTATGAAACTTTTTAGGTAACTGAACCAGTGAGAGGGGGGCCTTGTGTTTCATCACTGTAAACCAGTGATTTACCACTGGCTATGGTCATCGCACCTAGTGTGCCCCTGCTACTGTTTTCATATCAATAATGGAAAGCTACTGGGATCTCTTCCCTTTGTAAGACTTTTTCTTTCAATACTTCCACTCTGTAGGTATTTTTGTCTAACTTAACTGTCCATAACATTTCCCCCCATGGCTAAATGGGATCATTAAAGAGGTATGAAGTTTATACTTTAATTTTATAAAATATTATAACTGTAATTTAAATCTTACAGGAAGAGGTTCTTTAGAAGTGTTCATTGTGGATGAAATGCACTGTTCTAAGTAGGAAGCAAATATACTTGAGAAAGGTAGTATTCCTTTGGGTCATATCAAAACAGTTTTTCAACCCATCTACTAGTAACTAGTTACTATAGAGTGATAGCCTCACTGTGAATATAAGGTGGCAATTCATTTGCTGGTTGAAGAATGGCGCAGTAACCATGTAAAATCTCCTCAACGGTCCCAGCACAGAAACCACCATGGTTCCTCCAGTTATTTATAACAGTTTTAATGTTCTGTTTGTCCAGCCTTCAGACTTTTAGTGGAGAGTCTGCTTAAGACATGTCAACAGAGTTTAATTCCCAGTACCAAAACAACAACAAAACAAAAAAGACGTATCCACAAAATACTATTTCTAATAGTGTAGGTCAGTCTACAGATACCAGCAGAAGGGGCTTAGTTTCTTGAATTAAACTCATTTCAATGATTTGTTTTTAAGGTCTATTTTTTTCACCCGTAGTCTGTAGCACACACATCTGTTTAACAGATTTGTACAGATTCTTTTTGTTTGTTTATTTCTTTAAGTAAGAAAAATAGCCTGGCACTAATTCTACTTTGTTAGCATTCATAGATTAAAAGGACATGCTCTTCTGATATACCATGTGAAGTTTAGGTTGGTGTAACTTCTTGACTAGGTTGATTTTTGTCTTCCTAAAAAAAACTAAAGTATAGTTTACTGCATTGTTTTGCTTTAAATTTATTAGAGATCAGATTTTATCTGCTAAAATAGGGAAAACCACACAGTGAGTTGTTGGTTTGATTTTTTTAGAATGCCAAATAAAATGATTTCTTCTTCTTTTTTTAATGTCACCTGCTGTTTAAATTTTTGTGTTTAGAAGTTATATGGTAACTGTAACTGTCACTGTCATGATGTGGTTCCTATAAGCTTAGACTCATAATATCCAATTTAAGCTCTGAAAGTCATTTTGCTAATTTTCCATCATTTTCCTATCTAGGTGTAAAGCTGTTGCTTCTAGATAGGTCAGGCTTATTCTGGCTTTGTCCCTGGCTGTGGAATATATCTGTTCAGCAAAGAAGTGGGAAGATATGCTAGGAAGATAGAGGGCAGAGGGGAAGTTACAGGCTTTTCATGCTCTGCAGAGAGAGAATTTACAGAGAAGTCAAGTATTTATTTAAGTTTTTTATACAAGCACAAATGAAGTGAGCGAAGACAGACAGCAGACAA